CAAGGACCCCTCTGACCTGCAGAACCCCCCCAAGACCCACACAGATCCCCTCCCCCCCACCCCACAGCGTTTTCCCCACGAACCCCAAGGAGGGTCTGCACGCACCCCTCTGATCCGAGGAGGGGAAACACAGGGATGGGGGGCACCTCGTGATCCCAAACCCCCTTAACTCAGCCCATGGGTGTCACAGGGACACGGCTGTGGGCTACAAGCCCACATGGGGGACACAGTAGCCAAGCTGTGTCTTGGTGACCCTGGCACGGTGACAGTCACCTCTGTGACCCCTTTGTGGGTCACTGTCCTGGCCACCAGCCTTTTGGGGTGGCCTCGGTGCCTCACTGCTCCTCGGAGGTCCCGGTTGTTCCCATCCTCCCCGTTCCTATGGGGTTTATTTTAGTGCCATATTTCAGTGCCAGCCATATTTTTAGATTTCCTTCCGGGAGCGTGGGACGGGCGGGTGGTGGTGGCTGCTGTCACAGCATTTGTGGCACAGAGTGACACAGAGTGACACAGAGTGACACAGAGTGACACCGAGGACATGGTGACCCACACCCTGTAGGGTCCCCACTGGGCAGCACCCTGGGGAGGAGGGGGTCCCAGTGTCACCGGTGCCACATCTCTCAACGCCAGCCGTCACCCCCTGCTCCGAGATCACATCCCTGGTTCCTGCATGCTTCCATTGGAAAACAAATTGCTTCCTGGCAGCTTGGCTGCCAGCAGCCTCCAGCTCCCTGCCTGGGGACTGCAGGGTTGGGGAGGTGTGGGGCAGCTGTGCCTTGGGAGCAGGGCTGAGACCGGGCAGCTCGTTGCACGCATGGTGGTGGTGGTGCAGACACGGGGTGCCCACAGTATGGGGTGCCCTGATCTGGCTGGCTCTGGGGGTTGGTGACATGGGGAGGTGACCATCCATGTGCTTGTCACCCTGCAGGTTCCAGAAGCACGTCCACACCTACCGCATCCTGCCTGATGAGGAGGACTTCTTGGCAGTGCAGGTGGGGACAGCTGGGGACACCCCATGGCCACTGCTCTGTAGGGTCTGTGCAGCGTGGTCACCCCATCCTCACTTTGGGGACAGCTGGGGACACGCTGTGGCCACTGCTCTGGGGGGTCTGGGCAGCGTGGTAACCCCATTCCCACCCTGAGGACAGAGGGGAACACCCCATGGCCACCATTCTGGGGGTCTGTGCAACGTGGTCACCCCATCCCCACTTTGGGGACAGCTGGGGACACCCCATGGCCGCTGCTCTGGAGGGTCTGGGCAGTGTGGTCACCCCATCCCCACTTTGGGTACAGCTGGGGGCACCCCATGGCCACCATTCTGGGGGTCTGGGCAGCGTGGTCACCCCATCCTCACTTTGGGGACAGCTGGGGACACGCTGTAGCCACTGCTCTGGGGGGTCTGGGCAGTGTGGTCACCCCATCCTCCCTTTGGGGACAGCTGGGGACACCCCATGGCCACTGCTCTGGAGGGTCTGTGCAGCATGGTGACCTCATCCCCACCCTGGGGACAGAGGGGAACACCCCATGGCCGCTGCTCTGGAGGGTCTGGGCAGTGTGGTCACCCCATCCCCACTTTGGGGACAGCTGGGGACATGCCGTGGCCACTGCTCTGGAGGATCTGTGCAGCGTGGTCACCCCATTCTCACTTTGGGGACACCAGGGAACACCCCATGGCCACCATTCTGGGGGTCTGTGCAACGTGGTCACCCCATCCCCACTTTGGGGACAGCTGGGGACACCCCATGGCCGCTGCTCTGGAGGGTCTGGGCAGTGTGGTCACCCCATCCTCACTTTGGGGACACCAGGGAACACCCCATGGCCACCATTCTGGGGGTCTGGGCAGCATGGTCACCCCATCCCCACTTGGGGACACCCCATGGCCATGGCTTTGGGGGATCTGTGCAGCGTGGCTGCCCCATCCCCACCCTGGGGACCCCTCCAGGGGGATCTGTGCAGCACGGTCCCCCCCATGCCCACTTTGGGGACACAGGGGGACACCCCACGGCCACGGCTCTGGGAAAACCAAGGCCCCAGAGCTGCGTTGGAGCACAGGGTGGAGCAGTGGATGGATTATGGGGTTGTCCCCACGCCGTGAGCCTGGCCACGAGTTGCTGCTGGCTGCTCCGCCGGGTATTTTTAGAGCAACAGAAGCCCCTTTGTGCTGGGAGCAGACAGGAAAGAGCCGGCCCTGGCGGGGAGGAGGCAGCGGGGTGGTTGGCGGCCGGGTGCCAGCTGTGTGCTCCCCGTGCTGTGCCAGCTGTCCCGTGCTCCTTGGCAGGGAGGTGACAGCCGTGTCCCCCCGCAGACATCACAGGGCGTGCAGGTGAGGCGCTTCAAGACGCTGAGCGAGCTGATCTCGCTGTACCTGCAGCCCAACCAAGGGCTGGTGTGCACCCTGCTCTTCCCAGTCGAGAGGGAGAAGGAGAAGGAGAGCACGGAGGACAGGGATTACTCGGGTAGGTGGCTGCCAGCCTCTCCCTGCGGGGGTCCCGCATGGCACCGTGACGCCCACCCCGCTGCCTTGCAGATGGTGAGGATGAGAAGCCTCCTCTCCCTCCACGTTCCAGCACCAGCAGCTTCTCAGGGTCCTCCGTGGGGCTCAGCCCCAGCAGCCCAGGGCCAGCAGCAGCCGATGGGGCAGCGGAGAGGTGAGGATCATCGCCGTGACCCCCAGCGTATCCCCACCGTATCCCTGCACCCCCACTGCATCCCTTACCCCCATCCCCTCTGCAGCACCAACGGCCTGGCCAGCATCTCCCACGAGTACCTGAAAGGCAGCTATGCACTGGACCTGGAGGCTGTGAAAGCGGGGGCCAGCAGCCTGCCCCACCTCCACAGGACCCTCGTCACCTCCTGCAAGCGGCTGCACAGGTGAGAGTGGTGTGGATGGGTGGGTGGGTGGGTGGATGGATGGGTGGGTGGATGGATGGATGGGTGGGTGGATGGATGGGTGGGTGGATGGATGGATGGATGGGTGGATGGACGGATGGGTGGATGGACGGACGGATGGATGGATGGACGGATGGATGGATGTGTGGGTGGATGGATGGGTGGGTGGATGGATGGGTGGATGGGTGGATGGGTGGATGGGTGGATGGGTGGGTGGATGGATGGATAGATGGATGGATGGATCTGTGGATGAATGGGTGGATGGATGGTTGGATGGATGGGTGGGTGGATGGATGGATGGATGGATGGGTGGGTGGATGGATGGGTGGGTGGATGGATGGATGGATGGGTGGATGGATGGATGGGTGGGTGGGTGGATGGATGGATGGATGGATGGATGGATGGATGGATGGATGGATGGATGCCGACCTGCTGATGCTTTGCCTTCACCTTACAGTGAGGTGGACAAGGTGCTGGCAGGGCTGGAGATCCTCTCCAAGGTGTTTGACCAGCAGAGTTCTCCCATGGTGTCCAAGATCCTCCAGCAGGTGAAGGCTTTGGGGGTGGAGCGTCGGTGTCTCAGTGGGGCAGGTCCCACCATAGGGTGTGTGGGGATGGACCGAGCGTGGAGGCTTTGGGGTGTGAGCCTGGGATGCTCAGGGCTGGACCTGGCACTCTTCATTGGTGATGGAGAGATGGGGCTGGGGTTGGGGGTCCCCATTTTGTGACTGTAGGGGGGGGTTTGCAGACGGCGCTGCAGAGCGGGGAGCAGGAGCTGGAGAGCCTGGTGCTGAAACTGTCTGTGCTGAAGGATTTCCTCTCCAGCATCGAGAAGAAGGTGAGCACTGCAGTGGGGACAGCTGTGCCACGGGGTGTGGGGTGCTGAGGGTGACAGCCGCTCTTATTGCCCCCCTCCAGGCACTGAAAGCACTACAGGAGATGAGCTCAGCCAGCCCGGCTGTGCCGGCACAGCCCGTATCCCGCAAAGCCAAAAGCATCCCCGTGCAAACCTTCGAGGTGAGTCCCGTCCTTTTGCCACCCTCGTGGGGTGTCCCTGTCCCCAAGCTCTGCTCGGTCACCTCAGCATCCCACGTGTGGCTGCAGGTGAAGCTGGACGTCACCCTGGGGGACCTGACCAAGATTGGCAAGTCGCAGAAATACACGCTGAGCGTGGATGTGGAGGGCGGCAAGCTGGTGGTGCTGAAGAAGCAGAGGGACGCCCAGGAGGACTGGAACACCTTCACCTACGATAAAAGTAAGCTTGTGAGGCGTGGGGGGAGGTTTGATGTGGGGCTCAGTGCCCCCTAAAGGCTCTGATTCGATTGCTTCCCCCCCCGCAGTCCGGCAGCTGATCAAATCTCAGCGTGTGCAGAACAAACTGGGCATCGTCTTTGAGAAGGAGAAGGACCGGACACAGCGCAAGGACTTCGTCTTCGTCAGCGCCAGGGTGGGTGCTGGGGGGGTGAGGGGGGGGTTCTGCGTGGTTTTAGGGTGTAGGAGGCTCATGCTGCACCCCCCACCCTGTTCCTATAGAAGAGGGAGGCGTTCTGCCAGCTGCTGCAGCTGATGAAGAACAAGCACTCGCAGCAGGACGAGCCAGACATGATCTCCATCTTCATCGGCACCTGGAACATGGGTGAGCTCCTGGGGCAGAGCCTAACCCTAAACCTAACCAACCCCCCCGCCCCCCTTTTCCTCGATGCATCCTCAATATACCCCCCCTTCTGAGCGTGCTCCCTGCAGGCAGCGTGCCCCCACCCAAGAGCATCACGTCGTGGTTCACATCCAAGGGGCTGGGCAAGGCGCTGGACGAGGTGACAGCCAGCATCCCACACGACATCTACGTCTTTGGCACCCAGGAGAATTCGGTGGGAGATAAGGAGTGGGTGGATTTCCTGCGTGCTGTGCTCAGGGACTTCACCGACACCGAGTACCGCCCGGTAGGATTGGGACACCGGGCTGGGGGTGCTGGGTGGGGGGGGCCATAACCATGGGGGGAACCTCGGCCCCAGGTGCTGTGGGGTGGGCGCAGCCGTTGGGGATACAGTGGGGTCTATGGGGTGGGTGCACCTATTGGGGTCACCATGGCACCAAGTGCTGTGGGGTGGGCGCAGCCATTGGGGTCACCATGGCAGTGGGGGCTGT